AACGTCATCCAGGCCATGAAACTATAGGCAGACACAAATACTGATCGCAGTTAGAAAGGAATCATGCGTAACCTCTAAGGTCTGATCATTCACAGCTCAAGGTAGTCAGTACTTACCAATTAATGCCCAAAGACATCTCGAGTACCAGATACCATTACTGAGCCGGAGGAGAGAAAGGCCAATCGATACCTTCAGCAATGCCAAACCAGCGATGGAAGATATGATTGACTGGAAGAAGCTTGACTTTCTCATGATGACCATATTCTCGGCAGGGATGGTGAGTATGTGCTTCCCGAGACCGTAAAAGGATTGCACTGAAAAGATTGTCATGCCTGCCATGGCACATAACTTCCAAAATCAATATTTCTCAGCCCTTAGGACCCAAAATCGAACATAAGCAGACGTACCACGGATGCAATGGCGACGTAGTCGTCTCTCCCCATAAGCTTGACGATGGCGGCACGGGTGTACACGCGGAGGCCAACGAAAAGCAGAGCAAGGGCGTGGAAGCCGCCAGTTACACCGACAATCATGGCGGTATTGCTCTCCTTGGCCCAATCCGGGTCAAAGGACGTGGTAGGTGGAGGAGCTGAAGACATTATAGCCGGTTATAGCTGAACAAGACGTACATTGAGACCAGGCAGATGAGGAACGAATACATAGATGATAGAGATATTGTGCCCGCATGGAAGAGCGAGTCATGGGTTCATATTCTGAATATTTACATGCAGCATGTTACAAAAAGTCTGCCATCTGTGAACGCAGGAAGCAAAGCAGGATCCAAAAGCGTGCCACGGCCGTCTCACACCAAGGATTGGTGCGCGAAGTTGTAACTGAACGGACGCGAGTTGCTCATTCAGTCACGTTCCATTCGCTTTAGGTGTCAAGTGGGTTTGAAGTCCACCTGCCTCTTCAGAGCGTGGAGTTTTCGTAAGCATGGCTCTGGTGTGGCGAGCTCACTCCTGCAGCTGTCTTCATCGAGAATCAGGCATCCGGTGGGATGGAACCTGCACTGTTTTCAGTCAACTGCTTAGCTGCGGCACAGAAAGGTGTGCCGCCCCCCAGCCATCCAAGTTCTCCGGATATTTCGTTTCCCTTGAATGAGTAAGGCGTATAAGATTCTGGTGGATTGAGTCAAATTGAGATAGAAATGGTGAGTGAGGTTAGAAAATCTTAAAGTAATTCACTTATTTTTCTCACGGCGTTTTCTTCAAGTTCGCTGACAGCACACTTTGGTGAATTTATCTCCGAGCAACATATCATCGAAGAATTCCGATCTAACCTGGAAAATACATTCAAAGTGGTGCTCGTTACCGATGTGTTCTTCGTCAACTTGCTGGGATCAGTGGAGCCTTGGCTTCGAGACGGTGGCGAGGTTGTGTCCAAAAACTAATCGCTCAGGCTGGGCTGTGAGGTTCATTTCCTTCACCAAGTATTACAGCCTTGGCTGCATGTATATCTGCCTACACCATGTGTCGCCAGGTCTTTTGAAAGTCCACCCAGGTCGGCCCATGTCAGTCGTCGGCCTCCCGGTCAACAAGAAGTACGATACCATTTCCCTATGCGATGTACGATTGTCCGAAAGATCAGGGGAGCTCAACTTGGCATAAAAATGATTCAAGGCGAGAGACGCAATTTCTCCACTGTTAAAAGTCTCTTTGAGGTAAATGAACCGCGTTAGATGATCTTTTCCCCAGTGATCGCGGGTAAAGGCCTTCATGTGAGTGATTCTCTAGCAAAAGCGGGATGTTAGTCGAGCCAGGGCATTGGAGGCTTGGGGGCCAAGGGTCAACGAATGAAAGGAGCCTATTCATTCGTCGACAGCCTTCAACCGCAGCCGCAACCGCAGGCATATCCGATCCTGGCGCACTAGATCCATGCTTAGTGGTGTGATACGGGCCGTTGTAGGGCATGTTCCCCGAACTCCCCTAGTGTGTCCGTTGGAACTAACATCTAATGTTGACAGTCTGTGGAGCCCCTGCATGGGTTGGAACGCTGGAGCTAATATGATGTGACATTCTGACGAGCGGGGGCGGGGCCTTGGTTGCAAATTGCAGACTTGCAAGTTGCAATACATCTTCGAAGCTTCCTTAGTTCAGCGGCCCCTGCTATGGACTGGTTGCATATTCGAAACTTTGAGAGCCTATGCTTCAGCCTCCAGCGTCTTCTTCTTACACTCAAACTGAGTCAAGTGCATGTGGGCCGTGGGGAGAGTAAAAGTAATGTCGTGCCCGACTTCTTGCATGAGGTGAGATTGGTATTCCGGAGTTAGGAACACTTATTGGAGGCGAGAGAGGTTGACGGAAAGGCCTACACAAGGTGAGAATCTCTATAGATTTAAGCGTAGAGACCAGCTATATTCACGTGCAGCTTTTCCGGCTAAAGAGCTCCAAGGAAGTAAAGTCACCTCGGAATGTTGCCCTTTATTCTCTTCTGCAATTCCAAGTTCCATCCTTCAGGCGGCTCGTTGATCGAGTGTCGACCTCAGACCCCACCATGTCAAGGAGCGGGCTCAAACCCAAGAGGCAGGGGTCAGTAACGAGGACGACTTGCCTAGTTCAGATATCAACACCGAAGTGCCGAGAAAACGAGCCTTTCCGTAGGCCTTCCAACATCCACATGCAAGTTGTTGACCAACACATGAGTAACTCTACGAATCTGGTCAATGGTGGCGATGAACACGCTCGCCAAGTCGACTGGTATCAATATGTTGAAATTACATTCGGCAGTGATGGGAATGCTTCACCGGTGGGAGCATGTCTCGGTGTATATAGAAGCGCCCACATTCTCGAGTGCCACGTTTCTCTGTTCCTTTTGCTCACCTACCTCGCTCCGCTGCCCTTGCAGATCCCTCCCCCCCCCCCCTAAAGCGGAAGCTTGCGTCTGGAACCCCCTTTCATCAAAAGCAGACTTTAGCCGATTACGATGCTTCCCGTCAAGATCACAGCCGTCCTGAGCTTGGCGGTCGTCGCTTGTGGCGCCCCCCTCGACACCCCTCTCGAGGCTCGTGACGCCGGAGATGTGCTCGCAGACCTGCAAGCCCAAGCCATGGAGAGTTTGAAGGCGGCTGAAGCCAATGGGACCATTTCCAAGCGTGGGTGCAACCTCTTCAACGCCAGCGTTCGCAGGGATTGGTAGGTCGTGTCTTGCCTCATAATTCTTTCGAGGCCCTTTTATGAGACGGAGTGGCTAGCTCTAGCACACACATCTAACATCTTGGCTCAGGGCTGCTTTCTCTACCACGGAGCGCAAGGAGTACATCAGTGCCGTCCAGTGCATTTTGGCGTCTCCTTCCAAGTCCGACCCATCCTTCGCACCAGGAGCCCGCAACCGATATGACGACTTCGTTGCCGTCCATATCAACCAGACTCGGACCATTCATGGTACAGGCAATTTCTTGACATGGCATAGGTACTTTACCTGGGCGTATGAGAATGCTCTAAAGACCGAGTGTGGTTATAAGGGGGCTCAGCCCTACTGGAATTGGTTCGCTCACACCGATGATCCGCGCAAGTCACCAGTCTACGATGGGAGTGATACCAGTCTAAGTGGTGATGGCGCCTACGTTGCTCACAATGGCAGCGTGAGTGCTTCGCCATATGGCGAGATTGCAATACCGTCTGGCAATGGCGGCGGTTGTGTAACTAGCGGTCCTCTCGTGAAGTAAGCGGCATCCTTAACTCCATGAAAGCCATCATCTAATAGGATATAGCATGACTGTCAACCTTGGTCCAGTATCTCCCGGCATGGATGGCTTGGACCCCAATCCCAATGGCCCCATGGAGTACAACCCACGTTGCCTGCGCCGCGACTTGAGCTCATACGCAGCGTCTACTTGGTTGACGACCCCTAACCTACTTAACGTCACCGTTGGCCAAGCTTCTAAGAATATCTCAACATTCCAGAATGAGCTCCAGGGTCGCTTCTGGGATGGCTTCTTGGGTATGTTCAACGAATTCCTGAGATAGTAATAGTTGAGACTAACATTTCGAATGCAGGCATGCACGCTTCAGGCCATTTCGTCGCAAATGGAGATGCTAGTGATCTCTACTCCTCCCCGACCGATCCGACCTTCTTCCTCCATCATGCTATGGTCGACCGCGTTTACTGGATTTGGCAAGCCCTCCACCTCTGGGAGGCTTTTGAAATTGCTGGGACTATCACAATTCTCAACCTGCCACCGAGCCGTGACGCCACGAAGGAGGACATAGTTGAGATGGGCGTTTTGGCGCAAGATCGCCCTATCAAAGAGCTGCTGAACACTGTTGACGACACTCCGTTTTGCTACATCTATCTATGAAAGCATAAGGAATAACCATTCAAACTTTTGAGGAGTGCACGTGCATCTAGCGGGCATGTGATTCAGAGTGATGAGGGTTTTGATGTAAAAAGTTCTTTCATTGCAGATCTCAATTCGTGTGACTGAACCAGAATTTGCGCTTGCGTATAAGCATGCTAAGGTTGCCTGTACTGTTGCTCGTGAAGCCGTGTTGAAGTATCCTGGTAGTTTACTTGGGAAACATTAGACGCAACTTGATCCAAATTCTGAAGAATCTCTCACTTTTCAATTGACCATCTGCCAGTCTATGACTCTCTTGTCCGCTGATGGAGCCAAAGGAGACCCAATCTGACTAGGGCTATGGCGTGACGAGCTTTCGGAAAGATTTCGGAAAATCACCCTTGCCTAGCAGCAATGTGGTCAGCATTATCATCCTCGAGTTTCCACTTTCTTGCCTGAACTGTGTAGCATTGGAAAGTGAATGGAAGACTTCTATGCGGCTCTCGAGGGCCTTGAGGCTACTTTTTCGCGGAATCGCATCCACTTGGCGCGTTGTACCATCAAGACCTGCCATAGCGCAATGCCGTTATCGCGCAGAGAATTTGGCCTGGGCAGGGGTTGAGAGGCTTTTAAAAACAGAAAGAACAAGCCTTGAAGATGTCTTCCTGAGTTATCAGCTCAAAACGTATCATTTCCCTCAGGTGCGACAGGATCTCTTGACATGTCTGAAGTCAGCCCTCGGGCGCTGAAGCCCAAAAGCAGGGTTCACGATGTTTTTCGCGGAACGATATTCCAAGCTGTCTTGCTGGGTCTCATCAGCTTCACTCAACCCGGAATATGGACGGCAATGAACAGTAAGCCGGCCAACTGCGTTTCTCTTACTGCGGTATGTGACTGCTGATCAATCTCTTAAGATTTGGGCGCTGGTGGTCAAGCTGAGCCATACGTCATCAATGCTGTGAACGTCATCACATTCGTGTAAGTTACTCTCACTTAGTCTCAGTCTTTCCAGAGATCCAGTGATATCGTGTCTGTGTTGCTAATGACTTAGGATCATGATTGTGCTGTCACCGCTGGCGAGCATGGTCGGGAACTTGGTTGGCATGAAGTGGATTGTCGTCATCGGAACTCTGGGCTATGTCCCGTACTCCGCTGCGCTCTATTGTAACTCGATTTGGGGGACGCAGTGGTTTCTGATCTTTGGTGCTGTTACGTGTGGAATTTCAGTAGGTTCTCTCTCATCACAGCGGCAGTCATAGGTCTCTGACTTGAAGTAGGCATCGGCACTTTGGCCTGGTGAAGCCGCAATAGCTGTGGGCTATCCCGAAGTTGCTCGTCGTGGTGTCTGTAGTACGTATTTCCAGAGCCATGTAACCCCATCTCCGGACATTCGCAGACCTCAAAGGAGTACCATCATTGCTAATCTCTCGCACAGTCAGCATTTGGATGGCTCTTGGGAAGCTCGGTTCCGTCATCGCCACCGCGATTCAACTTGCCATCAACAAAGACAGCGACACAACCGGTGCCATCTCACCTTCGACTTACCTGGTTCTCGTTGCAATTCAATGCTTAGGTTTACCACTTTCACTATTGTTGGCACCGCCCGACAAGCTGATCCGCAAAGACGGGAAGAAGCCCATCTTTGCCAACTCTCAGCGCACATTCAAGACGCAATTTAGGGGCTTCCTCGCGCAGTTCAAACGGAAGGAGGTCTTGCTTCTCATCCCGGCCTTCATCACCGCGCAGTGGGGCGTCACGTACCAAGGCAACTACATGGCTGCATACTTCACCGTTCGCGCTCGTACTCTTGCGGGTTTCATCATTGCTGTTGTCGGTGCGATATCAAATGTTCTTGCAGGGTGGTGGCTTGATTCAAAGCACTTGAAGAGAACTACCCAAGCACGTTGGAGTTGGTATTTCTTGTTGGCTCTCTTCACACTGGTTTGGATCTGGAATCTGGTCGTCCAGGAGAGATGGGCAAGAAAGAGTCCTGGCGAAATCGACTGGGTCAGTGAGAGCTTCGGCGAGGGAGTCACGATTTTCATCCTTTACCGGTAAGAAGTTCTCCTCAGCGACCTCCAGAGCAACCATGACGGCGAATACTAACAAAGCGGTCTTAGCATCGCCTATGAGACTGTCGGCGTATGGCTATACTGGACTCTCGGGACCTTTGACGTTGAAGCGGACACCATTGCTCTGTCGATGGGTGTCCTTCGTTCTGGGGAATCGTTGGGTTCGGCTTTGGCGTATGCCGTCGGCTCTGTTCGCAGCGCCTCTTTGATGACGAACTTGGTCATATCTGTAGTCGTATTCTACGTGGGCGCACCAGCGACGACATGGGCTGCCCTCCTTGTCAGGGACCGACTCCCAGGTGAAGTATCTGGCCGGGACAGCGACGCAAATATTGCAAACGTGAACGTAGCCGAGCAATCTGACGCGGAGCAGATACATATCAACTCCGGGTCAAAAGCATGATCTTTGCTCCAAATTCTAGATCGCCCTATCGACCAGAGCCTATGGAGGTTCACAATTGACTCCTGCATCATAGCTGGGGCGATGGATTTACAAACGCGCTTGTCGTCTCACTGGTTTCAGCAAGGAGTATCAGAGACTGAAAGTGGCGCAGAAACTGATCCTGAGACAATTATTCTATATAGGCTAGGGGCCGATGCCCTTCAGCCGTGGCTCTAATATGCACATTTCAAGCTTCCAGTCTCCTTCGCCATGTTATTAATGACGTATTTCCATCACAGACCAAGATCCTTCTTCAGGCCTGGCAGAACCGTCCCCTCGTTGAATGACCAAACCAGCGCGCTGTTATGGCCAGAGAAAGTCGCGCCAGCCCAGTACGTGTTACGCGCGCCCTCCAGAGCAAGCAACTTGCCATAGAACCCTCCCTTGATCTCCTCAGTCGAGACGCGGACGTTGTAGGGCTTGTGGTCCGAAACATAGGGGAACGTGACCGTCTGGGCCGCGTCCTTGGGCACGGCGCCGACAGCAGCCAGCGTAGCCAGGTTCTTGACGAGGACAGCCTTGGCATCCGCCTCGGTGTAGTTCGTATCCTGGAAGCCGACGGCAACGAGAAAGTCATTGGGAGACCCGGCCGTGTTGAAGCCGTTCGTGCCGGGGATGACGGGCTGGTTGAAGGGGGTCTGGACGCCGACGTTGGTGAGGCTGGTGTTGAGGCCCGGGATCGTGGCGACGCCGGCCCAGTAGCCGAGGGCGGAGAACTTGGAGAAGAGGGCGTGCTCGTCCGAGCTGAGGTCGTACTTTGCCACGTTCTCCAGGATAGGGGGGATGGCGATGAGAAGCTTGCGGGCGCGGATGAGCTTTTTGGGTTGGCCTGGCTGCTGTACGAGGACGGTGACGCCCGAGGTGGTGGCCTTGTCGATCTTAACGTCGCGCTTCACTCTAAGGACGTCGGAGTTGAGAAGGACGCTGTCGCCGAGCTCCGCGGCGGCGGCGTCGTACAGGGCCCTGGTGTCGCCGTTGCCGGAGAGGATGAACTCGCCAAAGAGACTCTGAAGCAGACCGGGTCCGAGGCCCTTGATGCCGTACAGCGCCGGGATCGTGGAGATGTCTCCGGTCCACCAGTTGAATTGGGCGATGACGGTCAGGAGCGCCGTGAAGTTGTACTTTTGAGCGAGCTCCGCAAAGGGGAGCGTAAGTTCCTCCGGCACAGGGTCGGGAACGAGGAAGCCCTGGTCGATCCAGGGGTACTTGGCCAACACGTTGGTCGAGTAGGCCTGCGCGGCGGCCTGGAGTGCCTGCTGCTGCGCGGCCGAGGCCGAGGCGTTTTGCGCAGGGATAGGGAACCCGAGCGAGAAGTCGTAGCTTTTTGAGGCGCCGGCAGTGGCGCTGGTGAGAGGGTTGGCCTTGATGGTTGAGACGTTGAGGCGGGAGAAGTAGTTGCTGACAATCTCCCTGTTCTCGAGGAGGACAACGCCGACGTTGGCCGGAATCTTGGTCTGCGGGTTGATATAGGTCTCGGCGTGGCCGCCAATCTGCGACTTCTTCTCGATGACGGCGATCTTGGCGCCGGCGTCCTTGAGCTGGATCGCGGCGTGGATGCCGGCGCTGCCGCCGCCGATGATGGCAACGTCGACGTCGATCTTTGCCTCGGCGCAGGGCTTCGCTGCAGCTTGGGACAGCAGGAGAGCCCAGGCGGGCGAGGCGAGCTGGTTGAACTTCATGATGTGAAAGGGAACTAGGACAAGGAGTGACTGTAGTTGAACGAAGTGGTATTAGCAAGCGCACGCCGTATTAGAAATTAGCTGGCTATGCGGCATGTAGAGGAAGGAAGTCAAGAAGAACAGGATCTTAGCATATTCCTCGGGACAAACTGTTGTATTTATCAATTTACTCCTACCAGAATATTGCCCAAGGCCATGAACTTTCTCAGAGAACCTTTGCCGGTGCGGCCGGACGACCCGGACGTCGAAATGGCGGGCGTTTACGAGTGTCGAACCAGGCAAAGTTCCGCATCCTTCACAGCCCCCGGTTGCCGTGTAAGTGTCATGACACCCGAAGTGACCACTGATGGTAGCCACGGGCGCACTAGCTTTCAAGGGTTGAGAGCAGAATGCCGAACTGCAGAGTGAACGAGATTATTATTAATCTAGAAGGAAACTTTGACCTTGACAGTTAACGGTGCAAATGGCTTGCCCGGGCTCCACCAAGTCCGTTTAAGCTTTGACTAGCGGTATTGACGCAAGGTTGTCAATATAGCCTCAATGGCATGCTACAATTTTCGTAAACGGAGTCCAAGCTGTCATATTGACTTGGCGTGTGCTCGCCGCGCGCGTACCCGAGTACTGGCTGTTCTGTTCGGGTATCGTATATAAAGTATCGCGAGGTTTAACGCCCTTCTCGTGTCGTTGGTTCATTGTTGCCATAGATGGTTTACCAAGTTTGTCATCGCAACACCCGGTGTTTTCAATATCTAATATTTTGGCTGTAAAGACATGATGTGAACCATCTTGAGTCTTGTCTGTCTTCCAATTCAACTGAAACTCAATACTTCACTCAGAACAAATCAAGCAACTGATCAATCAACAGAGTTAATCGACTTCCACGATTTCGCCAGTCGACCAGACCAACACATCTCTGAAGGATGATTCTGTTGCATTAAGTGAGTGCTATCATTGGATTAACCTCGTCTACATCTTCTGTCGATAATTTTTCATCTTATTTAGAATGTGCGTAGGACATGACACAGCTGAGACGGAGAGTTCGAGAGTTTTGCAGCAACTTAGAGTGTTTTCTAAATTCTTAACAGCGAAGTCTATTTCGACAATGGTTTTTGCTTCCATCCTCAGTTGGCACACACGTGAGTAGTTGTCTCTGGTACTGTCAAAGTTACAGGTGATTTGAACGAAGGTTTTATTGATAGCCCACTATCGGTCTGTGGAGGAACACATCATAGGTCATGTCTGAAAGTTGAACATGTGCGTCACAACCCCGAAGATCTAGTCGCAAATATTGAGTATAATGTGAGTAAGAAGCACAGTCTTCACCTAACTGATCGAGTCGATAGTCCATACAGTGGCTGTATTTTCACATTCAAACTTTTCAACTACTTCACGAATGCGAAACCTATTCTCCCTACTTTGGTCTAGGATAAATTAACCAAGTCCATTACGAAAAAGAGGTCAAAGGCTCAACCAACCCGCAAACGGGGCAGTCGCCCGCTGTTGACCGGAAACCCGCAGGCATCTAGCTAGTCGGATGTCACAAAGAGGAGCCATACAACCACTCCGAATCCACGCAGACATCTCCACATCCAACGGGGCCTTCTCCAGTCATTTCACTCACCATACTTATTATTCTATTCGTTCAAATGTTTCATCAACATCCGATATGGTGTAGTGGCCAACATGATGCCCTCTCATTTCTGTGAGAGGTTAGGCATAGCCCCGAGTTCGATTCTCGGTTTCGGAAATCTCTTGCGTTCGGCTCCTTTTTTGCCCCTACAACTACCTCATTTACTGACTGATGATCTTGGCTTGGAATCGACGCCGAAGCGGTAAGAGTAGATTGTCAATTTTGCAGATCGCCGGGAACTTGAATAGAAAAGCAAGCCAAGTGACCGATCGACGGTGCTCGTAAAGTCATTGGAACAGGTCGGGTACCGGGAAACCCACTTCACGCCTATCGGCGTGAAGCCCGGGCCCGCTGTAGAAAATCAGAACTTGGCAGCGGCAGCCCGGTCGCCGGTCCTTGATTCGTAAAGAAAACCTGGCAAACAAAAGCTTGTGTGATGAAAGAGTACGACTTTAGGATCACGAGACGGCGGCAATCCCTAAGAGCTTAGTCGACTTCGTCCAACTAAACGTCTCAATGTCCATCTGCGATCTGAAACCTGTCACCATCACAGTAGTAGGCGTTCAAGGTGGATAACGGAGAAATGGACGCCGAGACCAAGGCACCCGAAGGCTCGGAACAAGATATGGCCAGCCACCGTGGTATCCCGTGATATCGTCTGGCAGCCATTCACCGGGGGCAGAATGGTCCCTCGCAAGCGCCGCAGACATTCGTAAACCATCCACGAAAGCAAGCTTCGCCGGCGCATCTGGTAAAGACGAACTGCAGCGTCAACCCTCACGTGCACCGAGCCGCGGAATGACCAAAGAAAATCGTGACTACAGGTTTCATGAACACCTTGAAATTCGACGCGTCGACGCACTCGTTCACCAGCCAGTTGATGATCGCGCCAGTCTTACTTGGGGACGCCCCGCGTCATTCACAGTTCAAGCGCCAGGAACAAGAGACATCCATCCACTACAGCCGGTTCTTTAGCGCAGTGGACGAGTAAACTGTAAGAAAGGGGGGGGGGGGGGAAGGGATCGTGGCGTGGTGCTAGCTTTTGAGGATAGAGTGGTTTGAGATGCGCCGAATAGGAAAGCAGAAGTCGAGAAAACGGTCCTCATTCGTCACGAGAGAGCTGCGGGAGATCCCTTCTTGCGACCGGGGTGGAGGGGTAGCTGATCGCAGAATCGGGAAATGGAACAAATAGTACGGGCGCGTAGGTGTTGACTGTGTAACGGTGCTACTGATTTTGAGCCGCGTCTGGCGAAAATTTGAGAGTAATCATGAGTTCCAATATCCGTACGTACTATTCATGTCATTCAGAGCCTGCGAAGGCCGAAGGAGACTGTAGCCTGGTGACAAAATAAGATGGGCCATATGTCGATCGCACGACGTGCGGGAGCGCCCTGGGGCGGGATTGCGCAATAGACGTAACAAGATAGAATTCAGTAGACATCAGACGTCCTCCGTGCGAGAACGTCTGTGTCCTGTGCTCCTGCGCTTTGGAAGCAAGACACGGATTCTCTCCCAAACTGATTGACAAACGCTGTTTTCTCGACTTTTGTCCGAGAACGTGCGGAAAGGATATGCTGCCCGCCCTCTCCCAGAGTACGGATACACGTTTCTGTCCTTCGGTCACGAACGTGAGATGTTGACCACCCCCCAGC